TTAAACAAACTGATTTAGTGACATATAAATTGGAATACAAGTGAAACGAGGTCACAGCGAATGCACTCTCGAAATTTGTATACGAATTAGTCGATTTGTCTTCGGTACTTCCAGTGTTAAGGACAAACAGAGTAATCCATAGCAGCTCTCTACACATTTTCTCTATTACGTTTTGTTTTATATATCAGGTTAATCTCTTAACGCTGTACAATATAAACATTATACATGTTAATGTCCATAACTTCATGCTCTAATAATTACTATTCATTGAAAATTGAAGTATTAAAGTTTCGGGTGAAAAACTCGAAACTACGAGCTTCCTGCTGGAATCCTCTTCAACTCCGGTTCCTCTAAATTAGCAATTAATTGCTGATTAGCCGGAAAAAATCAACCATTCGATAATCCCAGCTCACAGGTCGGTATACTCATAACGTTCTCCTCTAATAATTACTATTCGCTAAAAATTAAAATATTAAACTTTCAGATGAAAAAGTCGGAACTCCAAGTTCGGCGAATCAGCAATTAATTCACGATTAGACAGAAGAAATGAATCATTCGATAATCTCAGCTCACACGTCAGTATATTTATAAGATTCTTTAATAATTAACATTCTCCTCTAAAAGTTACTATTCACTAAAAATATAAATATTAAACTTTCAGGTGAAAAACCCAAAACTCCGAGCTTCCTGCTGGAATCCTCTTCAACCTCGGTTCCTCTAAATCAGCAATTAATTCCTGATTAGCCAGACAAAATCAATCATTCAACGATCCCAGCTCACATGTCAGTATACTCATAACATTCTCTAATAATTAACATTCTCCTCTAATAATTACTATCCCCTAAAAATTAAAATATTAAACTTTCAGGTGAAAACCCGAAACTCCAACTTTTCCAAATCAGCAATTAATTCGTGATTGGCCAGAAAAAATCGGCCATTCAACAATCCCAGCTCACACGACACTATCCTCATAAGATTCTCTAATAATTAACATTCTCCTCTAATAATTACTATCCCCCAAAAATAAAAATATTAAACTTTCAGGTGAAAAACCCGAAACACCAACTTTTCCAAATCAGCAATTAATTCGTGATTAGCCAGAAAAAATCAACCATTCAACAATCCCAGCTCACACGACACTATCCTCATAAAATTCTCTAATAATTAACATTCTCCTCTAATAATTACTATCCCCTAAAAATAAAAATATTAAACTTTTAGTTAAAAAACCCGAAACACCAACTTTTCCAAATCAGCAATTAATCCGTGATTAGCCAGGAAAAATCGGCCATTCGATAATCCGAGCTCACGCGTCGGTACACTTAGAAGTTTCTTCTTCGGATTGAGAACCACCGTGAAATATTTCCATGGCGCATGTCAGTCTCCCGGGGGTTGGAACAGCGAACGGGCCGAGGGCGGAGCCCGCTGAAACCCGCATGGCTTCGGCCCCCGTACACCCTTTCGACCGTCGTTCCTCGAACAATAACCTTTAACCTTATCTTACTTAGGCGTTAACTTCGGCCGAACTTCCAGATACAGGTAAAGTTCATTCGACTTTAATGTTTCGCGCGGATTAACAACCCACGCCCACGCGGCATTTATTCATCGGCGTGCTCGCGTCGCCCCGCTGGAATATGGGACACCCTGCCGGCTGGACCTTCTTCCACGTTCCACTTCGAGAAGTGGAATATGTTTGGGATTTCGATAGAATTTTCCTTTGATAAGAGGTGTTCGTCGGAGTTTGAGAGTGGCCTGTTCTTCGGAGTCGTCTGACAATAAGTAAGACTCCACTTGATTCGAGACCGCGAATGTTCGTTTTCGTAGCCGTTTGACAGGGAAATTGACTGTTTAGTATTCTCTTGTGGAATTTAGGGAAATACATTTATCAAGCCTTCGGTTTGGTTTGATCTGAATATGTTGAATAATTTCTGGAATTCTTTGTACGATGGGTCATTTAGCTGCAGTAGTTTTAATGTTGATCTGTTGTACTTGGAAGTTTATTACCGGGGGTTTTCAAGGTTTGTCTGTGAGATATATTTTTGAAAGTAATGAAGGATAGGATTAATGCTGGATTTATGGAAGCAGGTAATTTTATGGATTTTTTAAATATTGTTTAGTAACAGTTTGAGGCAATTGAAATTTTCGGTGGCATGGAATGTTAACCCTTTGCATTGAGAAGTCTTTTGCTAGAAATATTCAACACTCTTTGATAAAATATAGACAATTGTTGCGACTAATGTAACTAATTCAATAAATCAAAAGACAAAAGTATTGTACTATGGAATTTCACATAATGACGCATTATGAAATTCAATATTGACACTTAGGCAACTAAACAGAACTACAACTACAACCTCCTCCATTATCTTCAATTGAACTCATTCAATTTTGTTAAAAACTGTTTTATAAAAGAACCATATTTGACAAATTTCAAATAATCCTACTTCAAGACTTACTAAACAACAAATAAACAAAATAAAAGTCAATACATTGCTAAGTGAAAAGTGGGAGATCCCATTCTGTTGGCTCAGTGTTAAACAAAAACTTTACAATTTTATCGTATCAACCCAAATGATGACTCAGAGTCACCTCCGACTGCAACTATACTGAACAATAGTTCACGTTTTTCAATGACTTGTAGACATTCTTTGAGACAAACTGAAAGATAGAACATATATAAGTTAAGAAACAAAGTTATTGTTCCTAGAGTTGAATGGTGAACAAGAGTTACCTCCAAGTACAACGTGTTAACCCTTTGAACTCCAGGTTGTCTTGTAATCTATCAGCAACTAATTTTTATTATTATTATTATTATTTTTATTATTTTATTATTTTTATAGTATTCAAAGCGAAAATGAGAAATGCTATAACATTTCTTTGACCTTTTATTCTCCTTCTTAGTGCAAAATTCGGATATGCGGAAAATCGAATAATTTTAGGGTAGTTTCTTTAAGATTCATTCAAATATCTAATATTATCCTAGGTGCAATATCAGGACCTACAGAGTTCAAAGGGTTAATAGCCGCCAAGACTCAAGCAACAATCCAGAAGCAACAATCGAATTACCCTAAATCAAACGGGAAAGAACAATCGCTTAAATCGGCCGATTGGCTCGCGAGGGTAATGTGATTTAAACGTCACCCTAACGAGATCAGCGCGACCGACCCCAGTATAGCTGGAAGAGCCGCGACGCGTAGGGTGCGAACGATTAATCCGTGACTTCTCGTCGAAGGTCCGCGGCCCGGTCCTCGCAGGAGAAAACGAGAGTACGAGGGTCTCCCAGCTGTCGACGGGGCAGCGGCTGCACGTACAATATCGCCGCGGCTTTCGGGGGATCCAAGATGACGGTCCTTCCGTCCGTCCGTCGCGTTACTGCCGGGGGTTGCCTACAGGCACCGGGCGTCAGCTTGCGGAGGGAACGAAACGAACGACCTACGACCCTTGCCTCCGGCGCGACGGCGAAACCGGGAAAAACTGTTCCTTCGTTGGATTATTGGTGTATCAGCAATACGGTTCGATAGGAATCATCGGCAAAAAGAAGGTCGAACGAGTCTTATTGTTTTCCAGTGAGAAGGGACGGGCTGGAATGGCTTAGCCTAGATTTGGGCAACTATTCTTGGGGATGAACGATGGACGATCGAATGTTAGCTCTGTTTAATGCTAGAACTATTTACCTATTTAAATATTTTTTATTTTATAATTGGAGATGACGGAAGTGGGGATAAGATCAGAGTTAAATACAATGTTCATTCTTCCATGGAAAATTTACTATTAGCACTGGAACTACCGTAACAGTCGAAATGACTGGTTTCAACGTTTTTATTTCGTGATTAGAGATGACTCAGAAGTGGGGATAAGATCAGAGTTAAATACAATCAATGTTCATTCTTCTATAGAAAATAATTACTATTAACACTAGAACTATCGTGAGAGTCAAAATAGACTGGTTTCAGTTTTTCTGTTTCGTAATTATTGATATAAAAGCATTGAATATTCGAAATGATCTTGAAAGTAGTTTCACTTGAATACTATAATGAATGTCTGAAGGAATTGACAATAATCAATTATTACAATTTTTATAGGGATTGCATATTAACTGTATTAAATGCTCGGTAGTTCAAGTGTTAACAAGGCAACTGATAAGTCAAGGGACAAAAGTATTTTACTGTGAGATTCCACGTAATGACGTATTGTAAAGTTCGATATTAACACTTAGGCAACCGCCTAAAATGAACTATAACTACAAGCTCTTTCATTATCTTTAATTGAACGAGTTCAATTGATTTGGTTGAGAACTTTGTTTTGTAAAAAGAACCGTATTTGATGAATTGGAGATAATCATACTTCAAGACTTACTGAACAATGAAAGAAGAGATAGGTAAGTATCATTGCCTATCTACGAAAGGTAATACTTGATAAGTGACAAGTGGGAATGACCATTCGGTTGGCTGCGTGTTAACATCGTCGTCTAGTTTTGGTATATATTTGGTACTTGAAACATTGGGAAGTTGATTGGTAAAGGAAACTTTTAATCAAGGATTATTATTACTATTAATATCAATAATAATATTGACATTAGAAATGAATTTTATTACTGTTACTATCAATAATAATATTGATATTAGAAATGAATATTATTACTGTTACTATCAATAATAATATTGACATTAGAAATTAATATTATTACTGTTAATATCAATAATAATATTGATATTAGAAATTAATATTATTATTAATATTTCTAATATTTCTACATTAGAAATCAATATTATTATCTCTAATATTTTTATATTAGAAATCAATATTATTATTATTTCTAATAATATTGATATTAGAAATTAATATTATTACTACTATTCCTAATAATATTAATATAGTTATAAGAAGATATTTAAATCAACTAAACTTAATCAAAGTTTGATTCATTGGATCGACAGGAACAGAAATAAATATTTCTATCCCGATTTAGGTTCCGCGATTAACGAAGCCCAGTTCGATCACATCCTCTTTATTTTTCACTTACGAATCTTACGGCTAGTTTTACATAAAATATAATTAATCGATACAACTGCGCATATTATATTCGTAACGCCGAGAAAAATATATTGCACGTATGCTACATCTGTGACGCTTGTTCGCGTCTCGGTGACTGCGGGAACCTACGGAACATCGGAGGGATAGGGGTACGAGGGAGAAAAATGCTTTCCCGCGGGATAAGCCCTCTCGCAACGATGCATTTGAATTCCTAAAAAATCCACCTCGAAACAAAGAAAGACAGAGACACGATGCTTCCTGCCAAGGACAGTTTTCGTTTCGATCTGTCTGTGCTTAATATCTTCGCGGATTCCCTTGAATTCGATCAACGAGCGCGATATTCGCGCGTGAAATGTCAAAGTTCGAGTTGCGCCATTAATCCTGATCACCTGAAGTATTGCTTCACCAAAAATCATTGAGTTCTCAGACTGTCTTCGACGATATTCTTCGGAAAACGCGAAGATTTAACACTAGATCTACCGTTTAACCCTTTGCACTCGGATGTTTTTCACTTGAAATGTTCAATACTTCCTAATCAGATGTACAGAAGATTTTTGAAAATTAATTTATCAAGGACTCATACATAAATTAGGGAACAAAACAATTTTCTTCTAATATTTCATGCGTTGATGCAGTATACGAAGATTGTTAAATACCAAAGTTTACAATTCATTTTAAATTAACCTTTAATTTAATCCTTTAAATTAATCTCGTCGGAAAATATTGAATGTTGAAATTAATACGATTCATATGTGAACCCTATAAAAATTGTAACAATAGATTATTCAGTTTCTTCAAACGTTCATTATATTATTCAAGTGAAACTATTTTCAAGATCATTTCGTATATCCAATGCCTCCAAAATCTCAATAATTATAAAACAAATAGAAACCAGTCATTTCGACTGGTACAGTAGTTCCAGTGTTAATCATCAATGCTTCTATATTTCAGCGAACAAGGCCGTGTCTTCTAACACTAGAACTACCGAACAGTCAGACTTTTCAAAATTTTTCTATAGAAACCGTCAGTGGTACAATTGAAGTTTCTATTGTACAATTCAGTTTGTCTATCGCTAAACCAATGTCTACAGTGCTTTCTCCAATAATTTTTCTCTAACAATCGTAAAACGAAGGAATCAGGAACGAATTTTGACCTCTGATAGTTCCAGTGTTAAAATCTGCAGAATTCAAAATATAAAATGTCGTTTCACGTGATCAAGCGAAATGGGACAACTCCGATTCACCATTACTCGAGAAAAAGTTGAAACTGCCGAAACATCTCGTTCCCATAAAAGACAAGTTCTCCGTTCTTAGAAAATCACGTTACAAATGTCGCGCCCTCGAAGAACGGCGGTCACGGACTCTCGAGTGACCCCGTTCAGCACCCTTCGATAAATGCACGGAACGCAAGTTCTTCCGTAAACGAACGACAATAGATCAACGAGGATCCGCACTCGTTCGCCGTACAAACCGCGAGACAAGAGCAAAATATATGAACGAACATTCTGCGAAATGTTCGACCCCCGTTCTCGATTCCGTGTCACACCCTGTATAAATTGCGCCGAGGTCGTGTCCTCGGCCGCTCGCCCGTAAAAAATATATACACAGCTATATCGTGGTTATTTACACGCGTACGAAATAAATAAGTTACGTCATAGAAATGTTCGCTAAGTAAACGGTGTGTCTATGCAAGAATATACCTCTAAGGGGGTAAGTAAAATGATTAACCGTCTATCGTTAATCGGTACACAATTAATACATATACAAATACATCCACAAAAATCCTCGTGTTTGTAACACTCTCAACATGTTCGCTACCAGTGTTTATCTCAGTGATATCTTTCATTGTGACATCCTGTTTGATCCAACGAATCCTCTGAATAAAATGGAAGAATGAAACCAAAACCAGCCTCATTGAGTTCATAAATATAATTTGAAATATATATATATAATTAATTTCATTTATGTGAAATGTAGGATTGTGGATGTTACAAATATGTGACTTTGGTAGCGAACGTGTTAAGTTCATGGTGGAGTTTCTTTACAGGAGGAGCAGAGATGGGCAAATTCATTAGCTCGGTTAACAGTAGAACTACTGAACAGTCAAGGTGGCTTAGATCTTTTTCTATGGAAACTCCAACAGTGCTACTATGTAGATTTCTATTGATTTACAATTCAGTTTATTGCTAAATCAATATCTGTAGCAATTTCTCAGAGAATTATCTGTAGTTTTCAGTAATTGTGAAAAGAAGAAGCCAGGAATGAGTCATTTTGACCTCTGGTAGTTCTAGTGTTAACGGTGTCTAATCAAGATGATTCTACTGCAACCTTCTAAACACACATTCAAGCATTGTTCGGTAAGAAATAAATGGCTGCTGTTATTGAGGTAACTGTAGCCTGCGTCGAATCCTTCCTCTGGAAAGTAGAATCATTCCATATGGTTTTATAGTCTAATAAAGCTTGGACTTCGTAAAGTCTTGTGTTTCACACGTGAATGTTAACACTAGAACTACCAGATGGATCAGAATGACTTATTTCTGATTTCCTCTTTAACGATTACTGCAAAGGTACAGACACTTCCATGGAAAATGATTAATGGAAACTAATTCAGTAATAGCAAAACTGAAATGCAACTGAGTTGAAATCTCAATAAACACACGCTTATGGTTTTTAGAGAGAAATTTGTAAAAGACAGTTGAAATGATCGGTAGTTCTAGTGTTGCACCATTTACTTCCTACCAATCAAATACGTGTTCAATGGAACAAAATCGTTGAAAGTCATATACACCGTTTTCTGGAGCAACAGTTTGCCCATGTCTGGTGAGTGATGGGTTCGTCTTCAAGGTACTCGCCTAGTCGAGTAAAAAAATATAAGAGGTTCGATTTCTTTTCCAGGTGACGGTAGACGTGCACACGTAGCCGGGAAAAGCACGATGCTTCTCTAAGGATATTCTACTGCGTCCTTGTTTCCATTCTGCGCCATGAAACTGACCGTGTTCTTGAACATTCTTAAAGAACTATTTTCTTTCTTGCGCCGTCGAGGGTATTCTGTTTCTCTAAACGCTCCTTGGAAAGTGTCCTAGCCGTGGCCGTAACGAGAACAGAAAAACGACGTTTCCAATTTGAAAAGACGGCGATGGAGAGTAACTTGCTCAAGGTACGGGGCGATGGAAAAGTAAACTGTTTCTTAAATACATCTAATACGGTACACTTGAAGCAGCGAGTTAGATCTAATGACACTTAACACTAGAACTACGAAACAATTAGACTTTCCCATATCTTAAAACAAGTGTTTCAAATACATTACTTGAGATTTGAAGCGCCTGGTACTGCTGTGTCCGCAGAAATCTGCAGAAATGCAGAAATTTACTTAAGTAATCTCTCACAAAAGCGTATTCAATATAGTTGTAGTAACAGTGAAATATAATAGTTTTCAAATGGGCCACTTTGACCCACCTGGTAGTTCTAGTGTTAATCTGAAGTGGTGATTTAGGTCTGGATCAAGTTCGTTTCTTCCCTAAGCGTTTGGTTAAGTCTAGCTAGAACTAGTTCTTTAAGTTAGACGAGTAGTAGATAGAGATTTGAGTCTGGGTTAAATCTACAGCTTGGACATCGCATTCCCTTTTGAAGCCTGACAATTGCTTCGGTGTTACTTCACGGGGGGGCGTGAGAGCTTCTCTCTGAAAAACCACAAGGAGACAATAGGAGGTAACAATGAAAACGTATCTTGCAATTTGTAATACTCAAAAACTCAGGTCCTCGACATTTGGGTTACGGCCACGTGTACCCTAACTCTCGATCCGTCTACTAATATCTTCAGGAACTTTCGTTATCTTATTCGATACATCATCTGATAAGGCAAACGACCAATCCTCCATGCTGAAGACACCTCTCGACCCAGCGAGACAAGAGGGACCTGAAGCGTTCTAAAATCTCCGCAGAAGTGAATCTCGAATTCTCCCAAATCCAAGAGACATCTCGCAACGGGTATCGTCATTGAACGGACGTCATCTGAAATTCTATTCGCCCTGGCCATCTTTGGTGAGAAGAGGAGCCAAGGTATACAAGGTTTCACAAAACTGAACGCTCGTGTGCGAGGGACATTAGACGGAGCTGGTTTTTGGTAGCGGTTTCAGCTTCGTTTCGCGTCGTTGCTCGTGGTACTCTTGGAAACAGGGCACGATGCACAGGTTCGCCTGGCATTCAGGGCAATGGTACTTCGTCTTCCGTCGAAGAGGTCGCAGCGACCTGCCACGGGCGTCCATCGGGTTCCAGCAATGATTGCAGCCCAACGCTGGTCCTGGACGCAACACAGGACAATGGCCCAGCCTCTGGTCTCCTCCCATGGTTTCTCTAGTCTCCCTGCTTGTTGTCTGCAACATATTCACAAACGTCAACGACAGTGACAAATTTTGAATAGAGTCCCATTGGATTACTATTATATATACTATAGAATGTGATGCAGTTTTTAACGTAGCTTTAAAAAATACAATACAGTGTTTAAAGGAAAGTGTACACAGAGAGAAATGTTTTAGAGTATAGAAAGGATTATTGGCTTGAGCGAATCACTTGTGCAATTAGAATGTAGAGTCACAGTCAGAATTGTCAGTTAACACGTTGACTGCCACGAGACTTTCTAGCGTTTTATAATACTTATATTCGAATAACAAAGGAAAATGATATTGAAAATAATTATTAACGATATGATCACAGTAGTCATATTACACTATCTACTTATGTTATCAAATATTTCTATTTAACATCAATCTTTCTATTGCAACTGTTCTACAGTAATTTATAATCTCCAGTCATCAATGGCATTCAACCTATTAAAAAGGTCAAAGCACCTTATACTAATCTTTCTTTCTCATTTCAGTATTGACGTTCAATCATTACAACCAGACAACTATCCAACTCGCAGTAAGTGCTTGCTACTTCATCATCTACTCTTCTAAACCTCCATGTCCCTAACACCATCCATTTCCAGTGTATCAATTAATACCTGAGGCGAAGAGGAGCTTCGTCTAAGCTCAGTGGTCTTCACTCTGAGCCCAGACGTGGACCCTCCAGTTTCAATGTGAATGACCGGTGGTTCCTCCGACGTCTCTTGCTCTGTTTTCACAACCGGTGCCGGTTCGACGACGATCGAAGGGCTGGTCGTCCTCCTGGGGAACTCTGGGTTCGAGTGCTGCCTGTGGATCCACACGCTGCCGCCGGCAGGCTGTTGCTGACTAGACAAGAGCGGATGAGAGTGTTGCTTGGTCAGGTAGGACGGTTGTGGCACGGTCAACAGGTTCGTCGAGGTGGTCACCGCCAGCAGACTGGACTGATTCACTAGGATGGACTGCGGCGGCGGGGAGACCCGCGGTTCCTCCCAGCTTCTGGACGTCTGCGGCAGGTTCAGTGTCGGCGCAGTCACGTGGATGGACGAGGAGACGATGTGCGGCGAGGATGTCTCGCTGTCCGGCGACAGGTGGTTCGGCTCCTTCTTCACGCGCGGCTGGCGCATCAGCAGCCGGCACCTCTTTGGACCCGCTGGCTTGCACACTACTAAAATGGAGAAAAGTTTCAGATGAAGGAATTCCAATTTCGGTGCCAAACGTGCTGGGGAGACGCTTTTACCTGGCTATGGAGGAGGGTTGCTACTGGTGTACTGAGAAATAGGTGCAAGTGTAAATAGGATACACTGAATTCTGTTTTCATAGAAGTCTCGATTCAAGAGAAGTTATTCCTGTTTTATAAGAGTCGTTTGATCTACAAGCATCTGAATCAGTGTTTCCCAATGTGAAACTAATTTCTCAATTTGAAATTTGAAATGTCATTTCATATATTGCATAATGTTTGCGCTCGTGAACGAAATAGCAAAGATATTGTAATAAATATTATAAAAATATTGTAATATATATAATTTATAGTTACAATATTTTAATATATATATATATATATATATATATATATATAATATTTATATATATAATATTTATATAGGATCACCATAAGAAATATGTGACGCCGGTAGCGAACATGTTAAATTATTCTATAACGAGTACCAATGAATAAGAATGGTTGTACAGGAATCTCAGTACACGGCGATCGCTTATATGCAGGCACAGATTGACGTTGCGCTCCGCTAGAATAGATCTCGCAAGATTTTAAATAAAGCTTTATTTTCATTGACAAAATCGCTACATAATTAAGATCTAAAAAGACGGATATCTTACGTGAACGAATTTACGCCCGGCCAGAGACGGTCGTTTTGATTAGCTCTCCCAACGCGTTTCTCGCGCGTCTATTATTCCTCAAGACGTTATACGTAACATCGACACAACAAACTCGATCCTCTTCATAGAAAATTCGTATCAATTAAACTAGTCTCTCGCTCGGCTGACCTACGACCCCCGCCCCGTAATCCGTCGATCGGGTGCAAGTGTACAATTGCGATCGACAGTTTCTCAACATTTCGTATTCGTCTATTGCTCTCGTACAGGTGTAAACGGAAATCGGCGGAACGCGTTGGATACATTGTCGATAAAGTAAAACGATCGATCGCGGATGCTGATAACGTATCAGTTGAAAAGCTCGTGCGCTTCGAGTGGGAACCTCGCCTGGGTTCGTCGAACCGTTTCGCGATCCAACGATCGCGGGACAATTCTGGTTTCGTTCGAAATTGGGAAAAAGAGGAAGACGATTAAAAGATCGCCGTTCGCGTCCTGGAATTAAGTACGTAGAAAACAATGCGGTGGAAACGTGGCCGAGACGATTTCAAATGCAACTGTACAAATCATGCAACGTAAACGATACTCATTCGCACGAGGGATGGATCAATTGTGCTCGGATGATCGGTGATATTTACATTGTTTAAGACGTTAAGCGCCGTGCGGGTCACTGGTGACCGACGTTTAGAATTTGAGATCGTGACATGCGAGGTAACCGATGTGGAATGAAATGTTTGACGCGTTGAATGCCGAATGATTTTACGGAACAAAGGAAGAAGAAGAAAATATAATATCGAAGCATTCGATTGAATTGCGTTAGGTTACTTTGCTAAATGTCGTCACCTTAGTGTTGTTTCTAATATGGAACAGTTTTCAATCTCGAAGTAGATATTATTCCTCTGCAATTAACTATTAACCCTTTGCGGACGAATGTCGGCATTTTGCTGAGATCAAACTTCCATGTTTGCAATATTCAGTTGTGAACAAATGATTTAACTGTTCGAACAGCAAGAAATCAGTACATAGTTTCCTTATTCTCTGACTTAAGCATTCAGTGTTTAATTTAGCAGAATTTATATTATATGTATAATTTATATTATATAACTTAATATTATATATAACTTTATAATTTTGCAAATCAAATCAAGTGGTGACTGAGAATCACCTCTCGAGTGCAAGGGTTAATTCAGTGAATTATAGTAATTCGATTTGGTTGAGGTCACCGGTGACCCCGCGGCATTCAACGTGTTAATAACGTAACTAAGTTGATAACAGTGTAACGCAAAGGTTCTAACGCCAAATAATGAATAATTTTACTTTTCTGTGCTACAAAGAATAACTCCACGGGAGAATAGTCTAAATTTTCGTGGCGCTTAACGTGTTAATCGTTTGAGTGCGGGTCTTTCCAAAAACCCGGTCGAGAAATGCCAAGCGGCGCGATCGCCTTTCGTTTCAGCTCAGAGTGTCGCTTCCTATTTCCACGTGAAAACATTCTAAATAGCGCGATCGTGTCTTTCCGTTTCTAAGCAGGCGATAACAAAACTAATTAGGAAGACGAATAAAGTTAATTTGATTCTACGAACCGATAGGCTGACATTTTTAGGCGGTGCGCCGGAGAAGCGCGATCGCGCTGCTCGGCAGTCAAACGGTTGAATTCATTACCCCTAGTTCGGAATACTAAAAGGGATGCGCGCCCTTTAATTTATTCTAACGCCCTAATCGCTTACAAAGTCGAGGACAGTTCACTGGTACTGTCAACGTAACGGAACAAGTTCGTTTCCTAAGCAGCGTCTCCGTTCGAAACGAAACGAGAATAGCTTCGACTTGAATGAAATAGACAGGTGGTCGTATCGTGGAGCTGTTTCTCAATACATGCATTACTTTATTGTTCTTATAAGTTAGTAATAAAGCCGTACACATGTAACAGAACAATTTCGTCTACATATTACGTCCCTTAATGCGTAAATAGAAAAACATCTTTGTACAAAACGTTGATAGCCGCTTATTTTACACTCCGCATGTGACAGAGTTTATCAAAGAAAAGAAGAAACAGAAATCAATGGAGCATCGTTAACAATGGTCTCAGATCTCGCCGAAATGTAAGAACAATTGAAATGCCACGCATTTGAATTTCTCGTACCCTGTAACCTGTTACACCTATGCACCGGGTGTACCGAAAAGATCGTTTCAACATTGGTACATTAACGTCTCGACAGAGATTGTCCGAAGACAAATGAATATTCGTATTCGATCGTACACCCGGTATGGTAGAAGTTATCGAGTATAATTACCGTAGAAAACTTGGAAAGTCCCGCGAGTAACCTAACCGTGATGATTTGCAGTCGACTTTCTCGAGGACCGTTACTAATGGAACAACCGGCAACAATCAATCGTAACACATGTATTGACGACGAGTCCTGTTCTACTCGAGTCTGTTCATAGATGAATAATCGTTAGCTTCCGTAGGTCTGCGTTAACTGTGTGCAAATACACATGATATATTCTTCTAGCTAATAATTTCATATGGCTACTTTACTCGCTATGTACAAAACTTTTTTTGCGGCGTCGGCGGCGTGCCGGCTGAAAAATATTGGACGAACGAAATGGTTCCGCTGTTCGTTTGTCTCGCGAACGGAAAATGGCCGGCGCACGCCAACCGTTGGATTCTATTCGAGACCGTCCGCGTAGAACCCGCTCGGTGATAGGACGTCAATTAAAAAACCGTGAAATCAACAAATAAAGGAACACATCATGAAATCACTAACGAACGTGCTCTACCACGTCGTACCGGTTCGGATTTCAAACGATACGCGCCTCTCAACCGAAGGAACCTTTTCCAGAGCTTGACCTGTTCCCAACCGGAAACGCCGGTTGGCATAATGTGAGTAAAACGGCCTACGCGAACGTGTCGTTGATGCGCAACGTAGAACTCTTCAACGCTCTGTTATACAAATCGGATATTCAACTACAACGAACGATTCGATTCCTTTCCCCTTCGAATAAATAAAAGATAAGTCAAGTGGAAAAAAAAGACTGTTTTACCAGTAACAGTTCCAAAATCCAGAAGTCAACGAGTTCCAGCATTAGATACCGACGACATCTTTCGTTACACACGTGTACCTCAATATAAAAAATCTCTGGTGTATAAAGGTCAACCGACCAC